TGTGTACGCATACAATTTATATTCGAAGAGAATTGGTCATTAGCCTTTTATAATAATAAAAAGTCGAATTTAAACAGATTTGTGGACAGTGATTTTGAAGTGTTTAAAAATTATGGGATTTCTTATTATTGTTTGACTTGGAACAAGATTGGTTAGTGCATTTTAAATCCCGAAACATTTTTTTTGCTGTTACCTGTAAACCATTAATTAGTCTAGACGTTTCATTAAACGACGTTTCGTGTCTTGCTCGATGTTAATAAATTTTCGCAGTAGATGCCACCGTAACGAATTGGTAATTTCGTTTATTTTCTTTAAATATTTAAGGCATTAAATTTAAAATCACTAAGGCACTTAAATGTGATTCTTAAATGATAGTGAAAAATTAGCAATATTGTCATTAAAATGATATACTGCCCTTTAAGATGAATAAATATTATGTATCTTTGTAGAGTAACTTGTGAAGGGTGTTATTGGAAATCCAAAAATCATACTACACGTAAAAAAAAATACCAAATTAAATACCAGATATTACAGTTGTATAATATAAAACCCGAACGCATAAAAATAATAATTTTTTTAAATTATAACATTTGATGGATTTGATAGGTACTTAAAACGTTCAATATTTTTATGAATTACCTACCTACATTTTCGCTGCCAAGAAAAGTTTATTTTTTTTACAATTTTAAATTTTTGATCCATAATTTTAGTTTTGGACGTTAAGTCTATATTATGTATAATATATTCACACGTCACTTTTAACATTGACTCTGTATGAGTGGTGTGAGTGTGTGTTTGCACCAGATCAGTGGTGCCGTCGACGGCAAAACTTGTGCGATAAAAGTTTAACTCGGAAACAAGCGAAATCAGATGGGAGGGATGTGGTGGATTCAACGACAATGGTATAGCGGTCGCGACTACATTATGGCAAAATTTCACCCCCTCAGCATCCCTATCGAGCCGCCAACCCGGCTAGCTATTATGTTACATTAGTTACGGACTGTCGAGCCAGATAAACGACGTTCGTTAGCGTACACGCCACACCCCTTGCAGCCTCACACCCACAGATACTCGACGTGCGGTATGTACACATTATAATTTCTATATGTTACTATAGGTATAGTTATTCGTAGTGCAGTGCAGGTGAGTGTGTGCGTGTGTGTACGTTTGTCTTCTTTCCGCCAGCCTTGAAACTGCAGGAGCCGCGGACCGTTTCAAATTCGTCAGTAAATTTACCCTCTAAAACTCGCGTAACTTTCGTAATTATTAACGGCTATACACGCTGCACCAGTATGCGTGTACAAGACGATAATAGAATTCGTTCAAAAGCCTGTGTGGTGAGTGGCCGGATATATGCGTAGACGGGTGTAAAATGCTGGAAAATAAATTTTAAAACTAGTGATCATAATAAACATATAGAATACACAGTGATACATTGTGCATTCGTATATGATATTTATCTAAATGGTTTTTGTGTTTGTATATTATACAAAATGGGCATACTTCAAGTTTTCAATATTTTTTTCGTGTTTGATATTGATTAATTTAATGTAAGCTGTCCTGTAATTTAAAAAGACGTTTGTATTCGTAAAAAAAAAAAACGAATTCTTACGGTTTTATAATAATGGCTAGATAATATTGTTTAAAAAATATATATATTGTATAAAAATTATTTCAACCCAAAATTTTTCATAACGTGTTCTGATAATGTCTTGCTTAAAATACATACATCAAATGTTTAATCGGTATTAAATTCACTTCACCAACATTTTAAACTGATAATAGTAAATCACAAAATAATACTCGCGAGGTTTAACCTATCACTTAATTGTATCCATAAACTAAAAAGTAAAAAATGCGTATGTACATAATAATAAATTACTTTATTGGTTCAGCGTCCTATATATTTGTAAATTAAATTATTCAGAATGATATTGAAATTCAGAATATTATGTTTAAAATGACAGTTTCCATCATTACCAAAACTCAAATAATGTACAAMATTKCTATGATAAAAACAATAAATATTATACCTTTTTTCGTAGCGATTCAGTTACTGTTATTTTTCTAAATAAATTAAATAATGAAAACATAATATTATAAATATAGACTAAAAAATTACTAAAATAAGTGGCTTGAATGCACAACTAACGTAATATGCATTTAACGATTGGCTGTTATATATAAATATGGTTCTTTTAACAGTAAACATTCATTAACTGGAAAAGTATTTCAAAGTTTTTGAAAATATTTTTTTTACATACTTTGAAGTCATTACAAAAAATATAGATTTTTATGTATATTAAAGTTTCGCAGAAAAATATACTACTTCAAAATATGCAATTAAAAATAAATACTGTCTTTCAAAAAACTGCAAATCTTACAAAATGATAAATGATAAATTTAATATGTTTTTAAAAATTTTGTTTTGTAATAAGTAACTTATTAATTATTATTAACTAAGTAAAACAAAAATATTTTCAAAATTATATATTAGTTTTTGAGATGTTGAGTATTTATTATTAAAATAATCACTCTGGACATGTATATAACATATGTATGTGAATGTATGAAACGTATGTAATCGTGCCTAAAATACACGGACATTACCACATAATAATGTCCGTCTATCGGAGTATTTAAGTACACGCCATTCGTTCACCACTCGAAACGCTTGCAACGACGCATCGCACATGATGTATTATATAATATTGTAGTGGAAGAAAAAATATATGCACAATAAAACGTATTAYATTAGCTCTTCACTTTAATTTCCAGACAATATATTATATTATATATTACATGCTCTAGCTATAATATATAATAATATAACATAATATATATATATATATATATTTCACGCATGTGAACGATGCGCAACGAGATGATGATAGAAATGGAATTTCCGGAGGAATTTTGCTGTAGCCAAAACGGCGGAGGGGTGATAATGAACCGTACAAGAATTTATTGAAAATTTCGGATGGTTATATAATATATGTGTACGATCTCTCGAAAGGGGCCGGCCGTAATGTGCACCATATTATTATTAATATTATACGTACTCTACACGCATTTTATGTGTCTACACCGAACGACGAGTATCGTGGCAAACGAGTGTGACATTTTTAAAATATTATGTGAACATGCTAATGCGATTATTACGAGGTCTTCAAACCGTGTACATCTACGCAATTTTTCGCGTTTACATTGAAATCATAACGCTACGTCGCTACGCCATCGCGTAGACACGAGTTATGCATTACAATGACAACACACACACGCGTTCATATATATATATATATAATATATGCGTCCATAATATTATTGTTAATAATATAACCTAACCTAACTGCAATGGAAACTGTCATCAAACGGTTAGCAGACTTAATTGCAAAACAATGTTTATGATGATGCGGTCGCGAAATTGGCTTTATACAACATATTACGGAGGGTATATAATATAATGTATATAAATAATAAATACCCGTTTATGTATTATCATCGTAATATATTCGCTTTGTACTTTTGTCAATAAAAATCATTTGAAAATCCGACGACAGCACGCACTTAACGTGTCGCATCAACACGTTGGATGGTGGCAGCTCACGAGCTATAGGACGTAGTGTTATTACATCATGATGTCGGACCATAGGTATATAACATGTATATTTCATCAAATGCAAATTCTCGCGTCACGTCGATGACGAGACGGGAGTACGGCTTAGTGTTTGTTCATGCCCGCCGCCCTCTCAGAAAGGGTGGGTTTTGCCGGTCGAGTGATGCGTGTGTTTATATAATACCGTCTCGGTGTTTGACGCGTCATGAAGACCAAGGCGTATCTAATTTCGTAAAAAAAATTAAAATTCAAAAAACTAACAAGAAAATTGTGCAGGATCTCCATATTGTATAATATCCATAATATAATATTGACTCGCTTAATCGACAAACGTATAAAATATAAAACGGGAAATTAAATCAATACGGCGCACGCGTTATAAACGTGTCCTGAGTGGAGGGGAGAATTGTTTTTAATGTGCCTAAGAGTTATGATCCGGAAAACAGTAGGGCAGACGTGATATCCGAGTGTAATTTCGAAAACCCGATGAATTACAACCCATTGTGCGTTTAGGGCCCTCACAATAATTGGCCAATCGGTGGAGGGGTAATCGATTTTGGTCGGAATGGAAGTAAGCTATACTGAAGAAAAAAATAAACGAGAAAAAGTATATCGTCTCGACAAAAATAGATTGCTATCAAATTTAGCTATCCGTTTTATATTGCATAATATATGCTTTAAACCTGCCGAAAAAAACATAATTTTTTTATACAAGTACACATCACAAAACTTTCACTAATCATATGCGTGTCGGCGGTTTCCCGCGCGTTTCTGCATACGTTTTATAGTTATTACGCCGCTTCGTCATCGACGATATCGCCTCCGACCGCTGTGGCGGGCAACAATTGTAACGGCGGTGGATCAAAGGCTTCGAAACGCCAAAAGGTCAGCCATCAGTTCTCCGCGAAGGGTGGTCGTAACCAGAACGGAGGATGTGGTGGTGGTGGTGGTCAACCGACGGCTGGACAAGGTTTACAGCAACAGTCGCATCACGCCATCGTGCCAGACCAACTTAAACTCTACAGTGAGTATTGACTCGTTGTACAAAAATTTATTGTATGATATTTRWACCTACTTGATATGTCACCAAATCCTCCATGCACTAAGCCTGAGTGTAACGATTTTATTTTATCCCCTCCCCCACCAACGTCCAAATCATCAATAGAGTTATTAATTATATTTATCAAATAATATTAAGTATGGGACATAAAAAAAAAAAAAAAACATAAGATACATAAAGTTCTTGACTGAATTTATTTGTTTTAAATTGAATACCTAAATACCTAATCAAATGTTATTTTTTATAAAATACATCAATGCACTATAAGAGTTTGTATAGAAATAAATGTATATTAAATAATTATTTTAATATAATCTGGATACTTAACTAGTACCTAATGCATATTAAATTGTATCGTTTTAAATAATAATTAAATATTATTAAAATAGTTTAAAATACCAGAAAATTAATACAATAATATATTCCAAAAATCGAAAATAAGTGAAACTAGAAATAAAAAATTTWAAAAAAATTGTAAATAAGTATGTACGTAAATGCAGTTAATCTCTGCAGCATTTTAACTAAATTATTGGGTTTTCAATTAATTTTTATACGTTGGCTATAAATAGTGTTTAATTTACGACCGATTCGAATTTATATTGGTATATTATACCTAACCTTAAAATGGTACAACGAAATCACGTMGGCGAGTTGAACTAGTGAAACGTACGTGACTTCTAATAACTAACCATATTTATAGGTAGCTGGTAGTTCAAAAATTGTACATCTAACCTTCTGATTTTATGCAGGCAATCCGGACATACTGATATGTGGCAACTGTCGTGAGATGTTCACCGAACTGCAAGGTCTATTGGATCACAAGAAGGAATACTGCAAACTCAGGTTCACGTGCAAGTGTAACAATTTGGTTAAGCCCAACTTTACCAACAATAACAGTAAATGTTTTATTCAAATATTAATATATTTTTAATCTGATACTTCCAAAGTACAAATAATAGTTTGAACAGAGCGGTGTAACCCAGTTATAGCTCTCTCCACAGGACGCGGCAACTTCCTTTTTGTTACGACTAGTACATACGACTAGATAATTAGGAATTCTAAACATAATATGTATTATAATAAAATATTAAATATCTGGTTCAGTGTATTAACGACATTAACGTGGCTTACAATTTTTTACGTATTTTTAAATATACAATATTTTTGATCTTAAAGAGAGAATATAATTCACTGTATTTACGTATTTTTAAATATATGTAATATTTAACATGTATACTATGTCGGTTAGCAGACTATAGTGTCGTATTTCGCAATGATAATCACCCGACATCCGCCTTAAATAGAAGTCAACCATTCCCAAGCCAGACCTAAATACGTATATAATGCCCTATTAGCAGTAAAAATGATAAAATATACGGCCAAATAAAAAAAAAAAAACATTATCGCTATATGTGACAACCTACCATCTTTTAAAATTAACTATTAACGTTTTTCCATAATTAAAAGAAAAATCTCAAGTTTTCCAGCGCTGTCGTTGTCGAGTCGAACACGCGTGTTCGTCTTACAAAATTAATCATAATAATTGATTTAAATAAAGTTGTATGCCGACACCTAACAAACGTACGCTAAGCCTTTATTAAACACTCTTATTATAGTTATAATATTATTGCGTTTAAAGAAAAAATGAGTGCGCCGTGCGTACCATAGAATTTAAAAGCATAATTTGAGAAAATCGATTGTCATTACAGTTGAAAACAATAATTAACATTATACGAGTATAATAAAATTATTATTATATAATAATTTTGACTTAAAAGAAAACCAATTAAATCATCCGACCMATGCAAGTGACAGTGCACCACGTGCTGTACATAATATAATATGAACCTTACCAAATTTATTTCCACTCGATCGGTAAACCGACCGACCGTGATTCTATTGCATGATACCTTAGCCTATAACATACTCAATTATTAATTAACTAATGGTGTGTGCTTCCTGCAGATTATTCCTACACTACTTTAATTAAGAAAAATTAACTTGATACAATGGTTTGTTACGTTCAATGAAATATAAAATGTAAGTTCCAGAATTCCCACAGACTTAAGAAATTAGAGTGAAGGGCGTGGTCATAACAATTTACTGTCGAACAGCGTGACCAAAATTATARAGCTCACTAATGTAATATTGTAGCGACAATATTCGATGTCACAAAAATATCTTAGTCGCAAGGTAGAAACTAGAAATATGTATGGTCTGTTTACTGTTCTTACAGGTTAGGTTAGGTATATTACAAATATGCATAATAGTTCTTGGGAGAAAAACATCTTTAAAAAAAATGTTTATATAATATTTTCTTATTTTTAACCAATAACCAATAAATAACATACAAAATATGTTAATTTAAAAATAAATATGCAAAAGGAAGCAATACAATGCAAAATTATAGGTTTTACAGTYAGTAACAATATATTGTTGAAATTAAAAAAATATATTTTAGTTGATGCGRAGATAAATACAAACTTCTTCAGCTTGTTATTACAGTAAATTCCATAACTAATTTATTTATTAAGTTAATTGGAAAATTAATGAATTAGTTAACTAAACAGTTAAACAATTTAACTAGATTAATTTTTAACTCGTTAATACACATACTTTGWAAACTTGTATAATAACTAAAATATTAAGTGAATAAATTCATTTTTACTTGATACAATTTTCAAATAATTTATTGCTCGATATATTTAATAAGATGAATCTTAAATGTACGTAMATTCCGTATTAAACGACAAAAACCAATATTTCTTTTTCGTGCTTATATTTTTGGTGTCATCAATTTCCCAGTAAAATTTCGCTCTTAAACTCGAAAACTAAAAATATACCCATCGATTATATTTGTTCGTAGTTGTGTTAGAATATTTACATTCTCTACATTTCAATTACAACATAAAATCATAATACTTTTTTGTTGTATAATATTTATTATTTTTACTATTGTACGCGTATGCCAAATTCCACGTTCTTCCTGTACCAATATTTGTTTCTCTCATCCTGTTGCAGAATGGTCCGGAAACTTGAACGAGGGCTGCTTGTCTTTGGCGTGCGTCCAGTGCAAAGAATCGTTTGACAGCGCATGGGATCTCATGGTGCACGCGCAATCAGCTCACATGATGAACGTCTACCAGTTGACCACTCGAGACCAGATAACGGCATCGCCAGTGGGCACAGAATCGGAAAACGGATCGACGGTAAGTCGTCTTAAAAATTATATAGTCATTCAAACTTGCATTACTATTACAACATAATATTTTTTACTCACGCCAACAACCTTCCTTTAGTATTGATATTTTCTTGTCGTATACCGTGCAGGACACGTAAGATGCCAATAATTTTTGAAATATGACATAAATGGACAGGCTGCATTTTAAATACTCATCCAATTTGGATTATTCTGCACTAAAATATTAGGGTTTAACATGCRGATAATATTATATTTTGTATATTATACGACTTCTTGCAAAAATAATTTACTGGGTAGATATTTTTTATGACATTTTAACAATGTCAACATAGCTGATATAGTACAATAGTACTCGTATTTTTACATGGGATTTGAGATTTTCATAACCAATACATGGTTAAGTTTATATTAACTTTAATAGTATAGTTATATTATCTAATAATCTTACAGAGTTATCGACTATAGTTTTTTTTACCAGTTCTTAAGACACTATTTGATTTATTTCATCAAAGAATTGTTTACTATTCGATACAAATATATACAATCAAAAGCACTATTGCATTAGCGTTGGTTTTTAATCGAATCCAACTTAGGGTTACCGGAACTCGGAAATTATTAAAAGCGTACTTAAATGGTAAAATTATTATACCACGTAGTCAACCCTAATCATAAATCGATTTAACTAATTAAACAAAAACCATTAATATTAATATACAGTTTTGAACCCATCACTTATGTACAGTAATGAACAAAAAACAATATTTTTAATTGRAATTCAATGTATTTTTAAATGTTAAAGAACAAACGAGAACCTTATGATAATAATATTTTATTTCATAATACAACAGTCAAGTTTAATGTTTATTTAGAGTAGTTTTATTTCTGTATCTCTAATTGAATTGTCTCTGACATTTTAATTTCATATTTACATATTATACTACTATATACGAATAACGTTTATATACATCTGTGACATGAACGTTTTAACATAGTTATTAATTATAAATAAAAAAAAAAAAAATAGCTTCTTCGTATTCACAAAAATATTCAGTGTAGTGTTTATGGCGTTATCTTATTTTATCATTCTAACGTTTAAACGTTTTTAAAACTCCTCTGACTTTTAATACAATACAAACGATGGTTATTTCAATGTTTGCTCATAACGTTTAAATGTAATAATATTATTTTGGCCATAGGTTTTATAAAAATCACGAACTCGTCAAACAGCCAAATCATATATTTAAGTACATAATATAACACTTGTTAATTTAATTCGTACCTACGTGAATATAAATAAATCTGTGTTTGTCGTAGATCGATGATATAATATGAATCATAACGATCTCATTCTATCACTGTTTTTTCGTCTGACTGCTCCAGACAATATTTATTCTATTTAATTTAATTTAACCTATCAATGCGTATCCAAGGAGTAATTTCGTATAAAGATAACTAAAAATATGTATGAATTTATCTAGATAAAAAAAATATATAGTTAAAAACTGTATTATATTTTTTATCAGTATAATATTATTAAACATTTTAATATGTACCAATATAAGTTTAAATGTTTAACATTCGTAAATACGTGTATATAGGTATATACCTATACACGATTTCCCATCAAAGTTTGTAGGATAATACAAATATTAGACACACTTAATAAAATATATCCATTGAAGAGAACTATAAAAATTCAAAAATAAAATCGATTAAATTAGTCACAAGTGTATAAGATAAATAGCTATGAAAAATTAAAACCTCCTCAAAAAACAAAATATAAAACATTGACACAAAAAATATCTTTATAATTTATTTCAGTTACCATTTTGTTTAAATAGACGAACAATATTATTAATTAATTAAAAATTTTATTATATGACAGGATAAAAAAATAAATAAATATTTTCATCCAAATACAATAAATTTCTGGATAAAATTATCTATATGATGCACTGCAACACAGCGGTCAAGGAGTTGGAACACCGTGATATTAGGTTGAGCCAGCTGTGCACGAGGGTCGGTTAATTTAACAAATGCGTTTCTGATGCGAATGAAACGTAGGCAGGTACGCATAAGCCGGGTGGGTGTATCAGTGGTGGATACACACGCGTCAATTAAGCCGCGATCCCCGGGGGGCATGTCCGGCAAGTTGATCTTTTATTTTATTCTTTTTGAGATTTTGCCAACGTGGTTTGCACGAACGAATTCTGCCTGACGTATTATATTAAGTCGGTATAGGTAGGTATGTTTTCATTATTTTTTTTTTTGTTTACTCAAACGCGTGTGTTTCTAAAAGGTCAGGCCAAACAGCAATATCATTATATCTCGAGCCACGTTCTATTGGGAGCAATTTAATTCATTCGGTTATATCGCTTGTATTATTATACGCGTTTATTTAATAAAACTTTTTTCTCTGTCGTTTTAATACGAATATTCACGATAAAAGTATTGATACTTATTTTATTGTAAATAATAATCTATCATTATGTATACGCTGTAAATATTCCAAAGAAAGCTTATTTAAATATGAAAAACGCCTTTAAACTGATGTGATTCATTGCCTAACCTAAATAATATATCTTTTTTTTTCCTGTTTAAATCACTGCATGGAGGCCGAACTGTTTTCACATTGCTTAGCCCCCTAAATAATATATCTAATGTGTATAATATCTACACCRAGATTTCTTCGACCAACAACAATCCATGTCTACCTATTATATCTATATATTTATTTTGACACATCATTCACCCATCGAGATGCTTTTGAAAAGTATATTGGCCACATGGCACATGGCACATATCGTATTACTTTATTATATTTTTATGTTTGAGTCAGAATCCATTATGTCGACTGTTCAAAGCCAACCAGATCGTATAGCTATAAATCCTCACAGGAATAGTGAGAACGACAAAAACATTTCGGCGATCGTCCGACCACAAAATGATCTTTCAGAGACTCGTCTACTGCTCACCCCTCATGACTTTGTACAGGTTTATCATATTATTATTCACAGTAATATGCAACAAAYTTATAGGTATTAGGAATTAGACTGTTTCATATATTATAAAGATTTAACGTCGTTTTAAAAAAAAAAATCTAAAGTGAGTTTAAAAAAAACTTGGTTCTACTGAAACGTTACGAACAAAATCTGTTTACTAAATGAAAATCATTACTTTAATGACTGCGATTACGATTTGAAAACGAACGAAGAAAAAAAATTAAACCTATAACAATATAATATAGATTTTTATTTACATTATATTACAGAGTGTAACAGATATACCTGATTAATGAAAATAAAAATTGAGATACAAAAAAAAAAGTACAAACACTATATGGATACTTAATAAACAATTATTTAAGATGAATTATTTCTGTAAATTCCCAAAAAGAATATTTTGACAAAAGTTAATACATTTCGAATTAACTTACTCCAAAAAAATATTGATATAATAAATAATTGCAAAAAAGTAAACTTGATTTAAATAATCTATTTAACCATTAAATTTTTTTTTTAAATTAAAGATTTAAAAATTGGCTATTTTGAAGAAAAAGGAATTTAATTACATTTAAAATTTAAAATCAAAATTTTTTATTTTCAGTATTAAAAATTAAAGTTAAAAATCTTATTCTGTTTCTACTAGGTATTGTGACAAAAGCGTCTATAAATTATCAATAAGTAAATAATTTTTTAATATTTTTATTAAAATACAAGTTACTTCATTTTTCAGGTCATTCTGTTACAACAAATAATATTTTCGTCCTACAATGATATCAAAACTCTGCTTTCTTTTATTGTGCAGCGTTTGCGATATTTGACACTGTACAACTGAGTTGCGTGTTAGTGCACTTTAATTTTGAATTTTTTTGATCATGACGGGCTGGAAACCCTTGGCTATATTATACGCGTTTAACCGCAGTGTGTAACTGTGTAAGTTGTTGTGACGCGGACGGATGTGGAGAATGACAAATATTATTATACATAATATGTAATATACACAGCAAATATGTAATATATTATATGCGTGCTTCTGGTCAATTGATTTTGCGTGTCTCTTTTACAATGTAAGTATGTACATAAATGGTATGAACGAACAATGATAATATTATTATACTACCTACCACTATACTCRTTCGTTACGACATAACACCCTCTGACGCAAACACGTGACGAGTGGAGACCGGCCCGAAGTCGTAATTAAAACACGAAACGGAATCAAAATATACACGTTAAACGCGAGTACCCGCGCGCGCGCACGCACGCACACACACACACACACACACACACGTTTATAGTAATATATATACCTAATAGTTATCTAGTACGCATACCAGGTATATATAGATATAAACGGATAAGCTCGCCAACGCATCACCGCCCGGCTTAACGAGGGAGCCGCTCGGCCACACCCTAAAAAAACGGTGGAATGATAACCACCGGAAGTGATCAATCGTGGGCGTGGTGCGTGACGACCGGGCTTCGTGTCTAGAAGACTTTGTCTGACATTAAGTTATTAAAGCTGCCACCGCCGCTGTTGTTGCTATTGGCAAGTAAATAAAAAAAAACAACAACGCGATATAGAATAGCGGAGCGTGCTGAGGACTCGACTTATTATGTTATAGCAACCGGAATCCGATTTCCTACGTTTATACTGTACGTATATATGTTATCGTAAATGCCCGATCACTAGGTAAACCTAGGTTTTACTAGTTAATGCTAGGTTTTACTGCTTGTGCTCAGTAAAAGCTGAAATTCTTAATTTTATTCGGGCTTTTACTAAACACATAGTGTACATCCTAGGATATACAAATTGACTTAGTAAAAGCTGATCAATACATGACACATAACATTTAAGCGATAAGCTGCGTAAAAATTATAATTATATATTATTAAAACAAACTACTGACAGTTATTTAAATTTATATGTAAAATAAAAATGCATTTAAAAACAGAATTATTATTTATTTGTTCATTAAAATTATTAAAATTGGTGGGTCGGCCGAGTCCGGAACAGAACACGACAACGAYGCTGTGTATGGCTTGTAGCGGCTGCAAATAAACAGCTTGGCCGTCAGACGTCCAGCTTACGTCATGTTATACCTTGTATAATAATATAATGTGTAGCCGACAACCTGCATCGCCTTTGCTCACCCTGAGCCCTTATAGCCGTTACTGGTGTATACACGGGTCATCAAGAATGGTTCGATTGAGCAGGTTTGTAGCTATCGAGTACCCTTATTCCGACCGGTGCCCTTTTTATGACCGATCTGACCCTTGCTCTACATAATACATATAGATCCGGTCGATACAGTCGGCGGGAGGTGGGCAGCTCACCTGTACGCCTCCCGACGTCTAACGTGCCGGCATTGCAGCGTTTTTTCGCGACGGTCGATTAGTCAGAGTGCCGACCGACTGTATTCCGTATCTCATGCTATATTATGCAACGTATTTTGTCCAACGGCCCCAAAAATAACACTCATAAAATAACATACTTGATAATTTATTGCAAAAAACAAAAGGTTGTGATAACATAAAAGAAAAATACTTCGCGATGCGCGAACAAATCTAATAAATATAAAAACCGGTAACAAAAAATACTAATGATCAAAATTGAAAATATTTTTATTAAAGTCTTCGCTTAATTCCAATAATTAATATTTGTCTCATAATGTATTATGTTACTATCGAGAAATCGTGTATGTATTATATCATATTATTATGTTATCGTCGTATGGATGATATATCACGGGAATGACGGGTAAAAACAGCGACCCACCCTTTGTGACAACAAAAGCCTATGAACACGTCACCGCCAATCCTTAATTCACTTGCGACGTGGAGACTTCACGGTGAATACAAATAGCTTCTAGGGGAGTAGGCGCCATCGTGTCGCCAACGACGATGCTTCAATATGTTGAAAGTCGAAACGAAATACGGACGATGTACATATTGTATCATGTTTTACATTATATAAAGTTATATATATACTATTATTATTTATGGGCAAACATTCGTTTTATTGAATTTATAAATTATTACCTTTAAGTATTTACATTAATCAAGTTTATACGTCAAATATGTATTGAAAAAAAAACAAAATACGTACAAATCTGAATTTTTCAAACATTAAGCTAATATATTTTATAATATTTTTAAAAATTCCAATATACATATTACCAGAGAAGAACCTAGTAATAGTTATATTCATAATGATACGACTATAGGTATACCTAATTAATATTAAATCTTAAATGATAMGTTATACTTATCCTTAATGATAATGGATTCGAATTTAAAATGCGTATTATAAATTATATTAAGACGTTAAAACTAAAAAATTTTATCTCATCATAAATAATAACAATAATGTTACGTTGTTGCGAAAACATTTTTTTCGCCCTAATTCCGAGACTGCTGTCCAATTTTCAATCCATTATATTATATAGAGTAGGGTCTGGTGTAATTTTCGGAGTACTTTATCCAACAAAGAACAAATAAAAATAAAAGTATATACTATACAAAAAATATATCAACCTTGTAAGACGAAAGCCTCTGCTGAAAATCAAAAGAGTTTTTAGTTTAAAAGTTTTTCTATCAGGACATTTTTTTGTGTACCTACCTATACGCTTATACCTATTATATAAATGTATCTTATACCGTTATGGTGAAAAATATAATAAATACAATCATATATTGGTACTGAGAATAATAATTGTGACATAATCAAATTTACACGCCTAAATCATATTAAACAAATTATGAAATCAAGCACGTCATACATTCATCAACATAATATAGATGTCCATGATTATCCGTTAAAAACAAAAGTCGATTTTCACAACATATAAAATTCGAATAAAATATCATTATGATATGATTATGTGGTTAATTTTCGTTAAAACACATCATACAAATTACGTAACATTATCGCCCGGGTAGGGTATATCTTTTCTCTTCTGTACTTATTTTCAGCTCGACATTTTCAATCGGCCGAGAGCGATTTTAGAGTATTAGTTGGTTGTGACTTGTTGGCTGTGTCTGTTGTTGTAGTTTTTTTTAATACCAACCTAGTCGAAAAATTCCTCAAATACAATTCACTTTATTCCTTTTCCCATTTTACACATACCACAAGACCTATCGTTTGCACTCGGTCGAAATTGTTTTCGAAATTCGATGTTGTAGAGCCGCCGGTCSCTTTGATAAAACAGCCTTTTATAATTGGTGTGTTTTTATTATTTGCTTTGGTGTTCGATTAATTTCCGTGACATTGAGACAGAACGGGATGAGTTCACCACTTCCCGGCTCCCAGACACGCTAATATTTTCCAATTATAAATCTGAATTCTAGAAAAATACACTAAAATAATATACAATATAATACGTAGTTTTATAAATGAATACAATTTTTCTTAGAAATCGGCGTGGATGCAGGTATAGTCGTTTTTAGAATTTCAATCCATAGTTAATAGCTTTTTTTTAAATCTAAAGGACTAGAATCGTATCAACTTCACCTTCAAAAGTGATATTTTCAATACAGGCAACCAAAGTTTAGACTTTTTTTTAAGGATCAACTCAAATGAAACCAGTGTAGTTACATAAATATAAATTAATTAATGGCTTTAAAACCATTTATTTAACAACCATATTATTTAAGTTGTTTAAGTTTTAATGTGGGTTGGACAACTTTTTTTTAGAAAATATTTAGTAAACTATGACTTTTGTGGATCGACTAACCACATAATATTATTTTATGATTTCCTAAAAGCTAAATTATTTTTAAAAAATATGAGCTCTGACAGGGCCGCTCTTTTACGCCGAACACCAAACTTTTATATCCAATGGATACTTGCTTAGCCAATTTAATATTTTTAATAATCGATAATAAATTAATTTTACTTTTATTTTCATACGATTTCAGTGCTCCGTGGGCGCTCAAGTGAACATCGACGAGGATGCAAACGGGTCGGCGGATGAGTCTCTGTGCGGTGGACGAAACGAATTATACGAACCGATGGACAACGATCGCGAACCCAACCTCACTTCTCCGGCGGCAATGAGCTTTATCGGTGAAACGGAAAAGGAATTGACCGATGCACCGCCGATGACATCTTCCTGTCAGACTTGTCTCATCCAACAACCTAACATCCAAGCTCTCATGGGCGTCCATTGAACTGCATCGAACAAATAACAATATCATAAAATATACAATATACATATAATATTATACATCATCAATTCATCGCCATAATATATATACATATATACTATAGTATATTATTATATCATATAATTATCTATATAGGTAAGCGACGACCCCGRCTTAATGATCCACGGCCTACAATTGGTCATGGTTGAGTTAATTTATTTTTTCAATGTTTTAGACATTATGTCTTAGGCGTTTTATTTTTGAGAAGCACTCACCTTTTTTACACGTCTGGCTTATAAAAAAATACTTTGAGGAAATAATTGTCCATGCTTCTATATTATACAGTAATAATGCACAATACTTGAATAATGTGTCTGCATAAAAAAATGTACCATGTAATCTATTAAAATATTTTATTACATTGGGATATGTATCTATTATTCTGATTACTCACACAAAAAGTATAGAAATTAAATATTTCTGAATCATATTTTTAAACTTGGTTTTTCCTACATTTTCTAATCAAAAACAAGATATTACTTCAACATTTTTAAAAATAACATTAAATGTATGTAGGTACCACGTCTTGTATATAATATTTTGTACCGGAGGGCTATTTAAAACCCTGCAGGTATAAATAAATTATAAAAAAAAAAAATTATTTTCCTTCTCTTTTTCAAGCGTATTAACGTTCTATTATCTTGTATGTCTTTTCTAAAATTCGCCATTAATATTTGCCATAAATTATGATTAATGAACCAAGTTTCAGTGTGTTAKAGGATGACCACATCACCATCCCCAAAATTACAACTTTTATTTAAAAAAAAAAATAAAATATAAGAAAATTCGAGAACTTGAAATACCTATACAATTTTTAAGAAAACGATTTGCTGATTCAGTAAAAACATTATAAAATACTTAATATATTTGACGAACTATGGCAATGTAAATCACTTAAAATAAGTAAATCATTTTCATTGGCCAATTTAATCTTTTGAATAACATACAAACAATATGTGTCTATATTTTAAAAACTATTTAAATAATATTATCAGTTATTTCTAAACATTGCACCATTTTGATTAATTTCATTCAGAGGTATAATGCATATATCAGTACATAGTTACATRTTGTTATAGTGCTGTCTTTTCGTCAGTATTTATTTTTATGTTGGGACATAAATATTTAAATAACAATAATATCTAACAACCACATTGTGTTGGGAGACAATGAGCTACATCAAAGAAGAATGCAAACTTTCTCGTATTTAAAAGTTGATTTGCTTGAGAGGTCATTTAAATCTTCTGAAACRCAATAAAAATCTTCCGCCAACGTTTTTACCAAATCCAACAAACAAATGAATTGTACTTTTTTTTTTTTTACTTACGTCATGAATTTGAACGAAATTTTATTAGCCAGCAAGACAAGTAATATTTATCTAAAATCACTATTTGACGTTACTGGGACAGGATTGGTTTAAAAGGATTTTCTATTTTCGTTCTTATATTATTTCAAAAGTTTAAGTCGACATGCATGTGATACCAACGCATTATCACCAAAATCGAGTTTTTAAATATTTTTCTGAACAATTTTCACTTATTATAACCCTTTTAAATTACAAATTACTTGATATTTATACTAAATACGTATTGTTCTCATGTATCTACAAAATTATGAATTGTACATCAACCAAAAGGCAAATATAATTTGGGATAAGTTATAGGTTGGATTTTATTTTATTCTTTTCAATAAGTTTGAAAATGTATCAGACGTCAGAATAATATTTTTTCATTGTTTTCCCACAGTATATGTTATGTTTAAAACAATATTAAATTAAATTTAAAAATCACAACACTACAAATAAATATCTGAGTTCGTTGTTGGAGTTTTTTTTTATGTTCATTAATTTAATAGATCTTTATGATCTTACACAATATTATTAATCGTCGACAGTTGATTTGAGATTTTGAAAGTACGATTTTTATATTTCTATAAGTATTTCTAWTATAGCTAAGTTATAAAATACTGAAATACTGATCGTAGTGGATATACTTAAGTACGAGTATAATTGCGTAGAATTAATGTTATGTTATATTATTTCCGATTCAGATTCGCTTTTCGAACTAACACCGCCGCCCGAACACTGGGCAACTTCCGCACCATCGATACGGCCAATGCCCATTACAGCAATATTATTATTATTATCATTCTTATTGTACCTAATTGTTGTTATTGTTGTTATTGTAATATAATATAATATTATAATGTACCTAACCTACGGCGCCCATTGGTTAACCATGACACAACACGTTTGTATTATATTAATATAATGTATAAGAGCAATCTAAAGCTCTTGTCCATTCCGTGCAAAAGCATATTTATTATATACATATATTATTATTATTATTATTATTATATAGCAATTATTATTGATTTATTTGTTAGTTGAAAACGATTTTTTTTTCAATCATTTTATTTTTCACCGCTACATCATAGTATAATAATAGCAATACTTTGATTATAATCTAATCTGTATACGTAACGCTCATCGTTTCAGACGCCCGAAATAATATTTTATATCCAACAATGTGTTGTTTTCATTTTAATTTARCTAGGTATATAAATAATTATTGCACTATAATAATATCAAAAATCCTACACATGCATAATATAATACATGACGTGTTGGTATGTTGCAGAATATTTTTTTTCTAAACTTCACGAAATAAATAACAAGTTTATATTATTACAATCGATATTGTATACAGGGCAATTCATTAAAAGGTTAACTCTCCTCTGACTGCATTAAAATCTCTGGAGTAAAACGTGAGAAGTTTCGGTTAGGTCTTGAAAAGTTTTAACGTTTTTGKAATTATATTCCTTTTTATTAGACAATTTGAATTCATTTCAACATAACAAAAACAAAATATGAAAATATATTTTTGTCGGTATTTTTTTTTTTAAGGTTTACACAAAGCATATATCAACGTAATAGTTTGCTTTGAAATATATATATATGTATATTTTTTTTGCCAATAATATACAATCTTCTTTTGAATTTTGCAATTTAAATTTGGGTATGTTGTCGCAAAAAAAAAGAAAGTAAAAATTAAACAACGATAAAAATTGATAAACTACGACAAAAATATTTCCAAAAACCTCAATAGAGTCGAGAGTGAGTATTAGTAGAACCTTTAAAAGAAATGCCGTACAAACGATTTAATCGCGTTGGATTTGCAATGAAACGAACAAAAAGCCGACTCAATAAATCATTATAGCACCAGCTACTCTGCATCATACTGCGCCTATTTAACTATACTTATCAGTGTCAGGAAAAAAAAACTCATCGATTAACATATTTTCATGTTTAGAGTTTATAGCGGTTACCTGCACTCGAAATTTGAAATTGATAAATATCAATGAAATGAATATATCCATTATCCACTGCATTTCTCTATAATAGTAAAAATGAAACTGATCACACGAGTGAAATACCTACATGAAAGTTAAATCATTAATTTTGTTTAGTCRTGTTTTTATTGCATATAGCGTTGTAAAATATATTTTTTGCCCAACACTGATGATTCTTCTTATGATAACTATAACAAATTATGTGTATAAAAAAATTCACTCGACTAGCGTATTATACTACTAATTATTAGGTACGATTATGTTTTTTTTTTTGTTTTATATAATGTTAAGTAATACATATCATTACGTTTAAACGCATAACGGTTAGACCATTATGTATCCAAATTTATATAATATATATATTATTATTATTACATTTTTCGTCAAACATATTATATTCATATGTGTATAGTTGTATACTACGGTTGTATTATACCCACTTAGCCTACAATTTTGTGCGGTCTAATATTATTGTACTCTAGTCTAATAAGTTTAATAAATTGTTTGGCAATATTTAATTGGATGTGTGTCGTAATATTTTTTGAAACCTTTGCCCACTCGTCATCGTCTATACGGCTATACGTTTTACAAAATCATGTGTGTACAGGGTGCCCAGGGTGGTTATCTTGATGAACGCTCAGTTTTGGAAAACTATTAACATTATTTTTTAAGACAATAGGCACATYCGTTTTATATATGATTAAAATCATCCACTTAAGAGGAAGCCACAACCATATTATTCGTTGTCTTCGTCTTACAAATGATGCGTATACCAAAGAAAATTTAYGCTTATAGCACATCACGTTTAACTCCGTTAGCTTAAAAATTACAGTAAATCGACCAAGTTGATGATAATAACATTATCTGTATAAACAAATTTTTTACGATAACTATTAGATTTTAAGCGAATTATGAGCATTTTTAGTTTAAGCTTTTTTCTTATATTCCTATACACCAATTATTAAAAATATGCCACGATACACAAACACAGATAATGTCTTGCCATCATAAGAGTTTCAAAAGAGGTCGATTCACTCTAATTTTTAAACTAACGGAGCTAAACGTTTATTTCAAGAGAGAGAGAGAGAGACAACAAATGCCATTGTTACGTCTTCTTAACAACATTAATTTAGAGTTAGGATGTTGATGACTAAAAAAAATGTTAAAATGCCCTAAAAAAAGTGCAAAAATGCCATAAAAACTTAAAAAAATTACCTTAAAAACTAAATCAGTACTGACAATAATTCCTTTTACAGCAATTATAAGCACTTCAATCAATAGGCCTAATGTCTATGTCAATTTAATCTTGTTTATCGGGTTTTTTCATAAAATGTATTAATAAAATATACTCGATAATCGTGTATGATCGGCGTATGTTTGAAAGAGCACTTGTTTTATCAATATTATATTGACAATATACTTATAACACCCAAAGTCACAAACAGTAAATCCAAAGTTAGATTTTAAAATTTTAAATAAATTCAATTTGTTTCCAAACCTGGGTTTAACACTTGCTCTAATTTAAAATTTGAGAAAAATGCCCCACATTGTATATGAAAACTACAAAAAATGACCTAAAAGATGAAAAAATGACTTAAAAATATTGAAAAATGACGTTGGAAAAAAATAGAAATGCATTTATAGCTAAAAACGCCTAAAAATTCAAAAAAAAAAAAAATGCAAAATAAAATTAAAATATCCTGCATCAAGGGAGTACGAGACAAATTTTTAGCTAGGATAGCATTAAATAGAATCAAAGGAAAAAAATTCAAAAGTCATCAACATATCCTAACACTAAACATTATTATTGTTTGAACTGTTTGAAGTGAATATGACGTTGTCGGGTTGATTCTAGTCTGAAAAAAAAGAACGGCCACAGTGTAATACTCTAAATATTTTAAAATTCTAAAATTAAAAATTTGGATAAAATATTATGCTTTATAGAGGAAATAGGTGGAGGGCTTGCTTGAAGTCAAATCGTCCTATTTAAATGATATACCTACTAATAACATTAAAATATATCGTACACGCGTTTAATAATATCAGCAGTAATAGTTATTAGACATTTTATGAAGTTACATTAAACGATTATATTATTATTTTTTTCTTCGGCATTGCAATTTTATATTGACGTTTATCTGCTTCGTTGGTTTTTTCCTTCACACGGCTCTAAAACAGTTGGCCGTTAAGACGCGGAAGAACTGTAGTAAACGGAAATAAGAAATGGTTTTTTTTTAAATAAATTACTCACTGTACGTAGGCGTATAATTCAGCACTTAAACGTTAAACAGCTTTCCCGCGAATTAAATTTCAACCCTATGGATTGCATAAGGTACCTACGTTGTTCGTAAAATAAATTTATCGTTGGTGTTTCTCGTATCTCTTGAAAACAACAATTCTCCGCGCCAATTGAAAACCACTGTTGAATTTGCCATCTCCGGGTGGCGTGTAGCATACAGGGCTCAAGTGTTGCTCAGTCAACGCCTAAAAACAATGAACTGTGGGTGGGTATAATAATATGTAGGTCAGTATAACATAGTAGTGGGTCACCTTAAMTATTTCGAGAAAAACAAATTTTTTTTATAATTCTTGCCACTGCGCCTTACAAACTTAAATATCTACTGTAATATCAGCCGTATATAGAGTGAAAACGGTAGATCGGATACAAACATTTGTTTTTTTAATGAGAACCCCACTATCATTTAACGGCACATTATTTAGCAAATTATTTTTTTTCGAGAATTTTGATGTATCGTTATGATAATTCTAAAGAGTTATTTTAAAGAATAKAATAATATTACAATGTATATTACTTATAAAAATTCTTAAAAATAAATTACCGTTCCTATATCCTCGTATCTGATATCTTTGGAAAGGATATGGCGTAGTCTGCTATCCAGTGGATGTGTGTATAACGATGACGTGTCGATGTATTTAGTTACAACAAACAAATTAATT